TGTAACTCCTCTGTACGGTAGTCTCACAATAAAAAAATATATATATGGAAGGAAGAAAAGGAGAGACAGTCTTTCTGAACCCCACTCAAGCCTCTATCACAGCTTCCTCTGCCTCCATTTAACTTCCCAACTAGTAACAGAGAACACAATGGTGTCCCCACAGCGCCCCCCTCCCCACCGTAAGCACTTTAAGACTGGCAGAACTGGTGTTCACTCTGGCACTGCGAGGCCTGAGGCAGGCCATTTGACCTTTATGACCCTCAGTTTCTTCTCCTGTAAAGTGATGATAGAGATTCTGCCTCATCGGATTATTGATGGTTTAAATGAAGCTAAAATACAGAACACTTGGCCTATATTTAACATGCAGCATAGCAGCGCCCAGAAGTAAATAACCCCATCACCTCCCGTCCTCTGCCTCTGGCAGCCCAGGCTCTGTAAACTTGCCCTTCTTCCTCTAGCTCATTAGGAACAGCAACCACGTGGGAAGCTGTCTGACCAATGGTTGCTTTTTACCTTCACCCCTTGTCCTCCTGAAGGACCACATATGGCTCATTCCTTTGTCCTTCAGCATTTAGAACTCATTTAATTTCAGTAATACTCACCTATTCATATATATTTTCTTATTTTACTCCCTCCCCATCCTTTCTCTTTTCCATTTCTTACCTAATAATCACAGACAACATGTAAAAACAACATACTTTCTTTTTTGGTCAGTTGTGGGGCCTGAACTCTGGGCCTGGGCACTGTCCCTGATCTCTTCAGCTCAAGATTAGGGCTCTACCACTTGGCCACAGCACCACTTCCGATTTTTTCTGCTGATGTGGTGCTGAGGAATAGAACCCAGGGCCTCAGGCATGCAAGGCAAGCACTCTACCACTGAGCCACCTTCCCAGCCCAACACATTTTCTTCCTACTCTTTCCATTTCACATGTGGAACAGAGAGCATCTAGAATCATCCCTAGTTCACACAAGAGATGTGCCAAGGCTGAGCATAGTGCTGAGGACAAACAATGCCTTTGTCTTTAGGGAACTAGCAACAACAGAATTAACCAGGCACCAGTGGCTCACACGTATAATCTTAACTACTCTGGGGTCTGAGATCTGAGAATCACAGTTGCAAGCCAGCCTGGATAGTAAAGTCTGTGAGACTCTTCTCTCCAATAATCGACAAAAAAAAAAAAAAACCAACAACAACAACTGGAAGTGGAGCCTGGGACTTGAATGCTAGAGCACAAAGCTCAGTGACAGCACCTAAGCCCTGAATCCAAGCCCCAGGACCTGCACATACACTTACACACACATGTGCACACACACACACACACACACAGAATTAAGACACCACCATATCAGTTTCTAGGTCCCTGTAAATACCTAGAAGATAATTATCAGAATCTTTACACAAATACTCATCAGCTTCTTTCTTCTATTTATTCTTTCCCTCAAGTTACAAAGACAGAATTTGATAATTTTTTAAAATTCAAATGAATTCTTTTTTAGCTTTTTATTTTTTTAAAGCATTAATGGGCTTTTGTGGGCAAAGCTCTGAATGAATCACCACCTCTAGCATTTCTGTGGGAAAACAAGGCTTTGAGCTCTATGCAAATGAGATAGTAAGACCTCTGAACATAAACCCTTTTGAGGATGTGAGCTTCCAGTGTTTCCTTCAATGTGTGCCTGGCTGTTATTAATTTTTATTTTATACCAAACGCTGTACTTGTCTAGTCAAGCTCAGTCAGTCTGATTGGTCATTCAGCAAGTGTGTAATTAACTGATCAACTGCTACATGCCTGATTTTTGTGCTAGACACTTAGCGAATTCAAAAGAACACCAACACTTCCTAACACCAGAAATATATGGTTCCCCACAGTCAAAGTTCATTTTCACATTAACTACAATTTCCTCATTAATAAAATGATACTACTAAGATATCTTGCCTACTTCACAGGCAGGAATGAGAGAACCTATTGAAGACACTTTGTAAATTCTGAAACAAAATGCACATTACTTTTCAACATAATCAGCTGTTCAAGAACTATGAAAGTTGGAGGGGAAGCTGGGTGCTGGTGGCTAGCACCTGTAATCCTAGTTGGAGCGGATATTTATCCATTCTCCCTAAACTTCAGATCTCTGAGTCTGCACATGGCATTCTTCTCACTGGAAAATCCTGGGTCTTACCCACAAGTTGGGTTCCTTCAGTTCTTCAAAACATCTTCAGCCTCTGTACCCAGAGGAGCACTATTGAGCTCACCTGGAGAAGCCCATCTCTCCATCTACTGGATGGCACATTGAGCTATAACTAAGTGGGTCAGCTTTTAATCAGGGCAGAAGTTTTGTCTTATAAAAATAACTCTGCCTGTAATCCTAGCTACCTGGAAGGCTGAAATCTGAGGATTGTGGTTCAAAGCTAGCCCAGGCAGAAGAGTCTCCATGAGATTCTTTATCTCCAATTAATCACCAAAGTTAATTGGCTGTGGCTCAAAGTGGTAGAGCACTAACCTTGAACAAAAGAGTTCAGGGATAGCACCCAGGCCCTAAGTTCAAGCCTCACGGCTGACAAAAACAACAACAACTCTGTAGCTTCTATTGAACCACAAAAAAACCTTATCTTTTATCTCCCTCTCAGGAACACACATGCTCATGGCAGCCATTACAATCCCATCATGCAGCAGCCTGCACTATTGACTGGTCATGTGACCCTTCCAGCAGCCCAGCCCTTAAATGTGGGTGTGGCCCACGTGATGCGACAGCAGCCAACCAGCACCTCCTCCTCCCGGAAGAGTAAGCAGCACCAGTCCTCTGCCAGGTAAGTGTGGAATGGCCCTGGAGGGCAGGCACCCCAGCAGATCAGAATGCTAAAGAAACATCTGGCTGGCTTGGGATGGGGAACAACTCTTCCTAGCAGAACATTCTGTACCAAGGGGATTGCCCAGGGTTTGCAGGAAACTGAATGTTTTATGCAAGGGATGCCAGTCTGTTGTCCCACACTGGTTCCACGCCTGTTACCACCCTGAGGGTGGGGGCCTAGATGGAGTTAGCATCCTCCATGCCTTGAAGGTCATGCAAAGAATCTTTGTTATTTTCTCCTTCTCTAGAAAACAGCTTGCCTCTGAAGTTTCATTATCCATGCAGTTCTAGATCAATATAATTACAATGTAGGTTATATATTTGGAAACTATTCCTAAGAGAACTTTTTTAAGATACTAACAAAATGTACTTTTGAAATTTGAGGTCAGAAATTGAACTCATCTGGCTGCTTGCTTAAGTTCTACTTTGGTTACTCCCACACACTAAATAGCAGCCTACTGATCTCTCCCGGTCCCTTGAACTCCAGTTCCTGAACTCTTAAGCAGTCAAGATTGACAAAAGGCTATGTGCCTTATGACTTCATTCACATGTCACTTTAAAAATGCAGATAGAGATCAGAGAGACCTGTGGGAGGGGAGGGGACTGAAGGGAGTCTTCAGGTGTTGAAGAAGTTCCATGTCTGGGTTGTGGTTGGAGTTTGTGACTGTACATTTCTCACAAGTCACCAAACATTTTTGAAAAGGGGATTTTTATACTCAATTATACCTCAATAAGCCTGATTTTAGAAGTAAAGGCATGGCTGAAAGGGTAGAGTGCCTGCCTACCAACCAAGAGCCTAGTACTTCCAAAAGAAAAAGTATTAAGCTGGGCACCGGTGGCTCACGCCTATAATCCTAGCTACTCAGGAGGCTGAGAGCTGAGGATCACAGTTCAAAGCCAGCCCGGGCAAGGAAAGTCTGTGAGATTCTTATCCCCAATTAACCACTAGAAAACCGGAAGTAACACTGTGGCTCAAGCGGTAGAGTGCTGGCCTTGAGCTAAAGAGCGCAAGGACAGCGCCCAAGCCCAGAGTTCAAGCCCCACAACCAACCAAAAAAAAGAAAAAAAAAGTATTAAGAGAAAAGAATACCTGACTTTTTAAGAGAGAGAGTGAGAGAGTTCTAGGCCCTACCCTCTGAAAAAGAAATCTACAGCTGGACAGATAAATCAGGCTTGTGCAACTGCAGAATTACCCCCTGTATGTCCCAATGGCACTCATTGGGAGGTATTTAGGTGCTTGTTTCAGACAGAATGATGATATAGTATATGATATATCTAGTGATTTTTGGTTTCTGCTTCCTCATTTAGCCAGGTGCCAAAAACTAGGCCTGCCTTTTTTTGTTTTCTTTGTCTTCTCATTCAGAAATTAGTCCAACTTGAGGGAATCCCTCAGGTTGACATCCTTCTTTGAGAAGATAAACACCTTTAATTAGGGATAGCTAATAACTCAGGGAAACTCTTCTGAGGTCAGCGCAGCCCTCCAGAATGCTTTTGTGTGGCAGCCCTTTGATAACACATTGCCCTTATTAGAGTGGGTGGTAACAAAAGCCAGATTCTTATCTCTCCACACCTCATTCCCAGCCAGGTGGGTGATGTGTAGGGTGCTGAGCTTGGCAGCACGCTGACTTAGCTTGGCCAAGTAGGAGCAATAAGAACCCTTGGCCAGCCCCATCTGTTTAGTAAATCCCTCCCTGTCTTCTAACCACCCAGTTGGCCCTCACCTGTACAGTTTAAAAGCAATACAACAATAGTGCATGTTATATATTCGTCTCTTTTCAAGACCAGAACCTTGAGCAAAACAGTCTGAGAGACCAGAGAGAGGCTTTTCTGAAGATAGTGGCCAGCCATGCTCTCCTGTAGCATGCCAAATGGAGATTCAGCAACTGCTGAGTTGGTAAAAACATGATCTCAAATGATAACATATTAGCAGTGGCAAACACATATAGAAATGGTAGAGCAGTCTTACCAGTAAAACCCCAAAGGTTTTCATCACTAGTACCCTCTCCAAAAGGAATAGGCAGTATGGCCTGATGCCAGTAGATAGAAAATTAAGTAAGTTTACTTTACCTGGATTATTTTCATTTTACTGCCATCCCTTTGGCTAGAAGGTGATCAGATCTCTAAGACCACAGAGATCTCAGGATCATTATATATTAGATTAAGTCTCATATTAAGTCTAACTGCATACACATTCCCAGGATCAGGGAGTGAAAAAGGTTTTGGTTTCCCCTCACCCCCCCCCTTAAGGTTACCAGAAACTATACTGGCTTACTTAAGGAATTTCAGGTCAATCAAAGTGAAAGGTTCCTTGTTCTTTTATGGAAGAGGTAGAGGGCTACTGGGGGTTGAATTCAGGGCCTCAGGATGCTAGGCAAGCACTCTACGTCTTAAGCTGAATCCACAGCTCAAATGGTACCTCCCTTTCTTGGACTTTTCTCATGTGGCTGTGGGCATGCATGCGACTGTATTGGACTTTAACTCAGGCCTGGGTTCTGTCCCTTAGTTTTTTTCCCCACTAAATGCTGACACTTTACCATTTGAGCCACAGCTCCACTTCCAGCTTGTTTTTGCTGGTTAACTGAGCTAAGAATCTCACAGACTTTCCTGCCCCAGCTGGCTTTGAACTGCGATCCTCAGATCTCAGCCACCTGAATAGCTAGGATTACAAATGTGAGCCACCAGCACCTGGCATCAATTTTTCATAACTATTCAAATAATAATTTGGGAAAAACTGTTAAGCCTCCTGTGAAACTCGGGGATCAAGATTGCAAAAATGAAATTTGTTTTCACTGTATCTTCACTAATACTTGAATGGCCTTATCTTTTCCAAGAGGTGGAAAGGGGAGGGGGGGCTAATAAGGTCACCAGGAATAGGTCCTTTAGATTCACAAACATTTAAAAAGTTAAGTGCTTTAGGCCAGCAGTGTGGCTCAGTGGTACAGCATTTGCCTAGCATCATTGAGAGCCTGGATTTGGTCCCTAGCACTACAAAAAAAAAGTTTTTTTTAATATAATATACTCTGCTAAAGGAGGGAAGAGTGAACAAATGCAGCAGTGGCTCTCACTAGACACTGTGTTAAAAATGAGAACTATACAACTTGTGGGTAGAGATGGGAGGGAAAAACTGGGAGAGAGAGCAAGGGAAGGGGTGATATTGTCCAAAAAGAAATGTACTCTTTACCTGACTTAAATAGCTGTAACTCCTCTATATATCACCCATATAATGACAATTACAAATTATTTCCAAAACAATCTTCACTAACCCTTACCAAGGAAACCAAAGCTCTACATGGCAAACACCATTTGTCTCATCACCCCTAAAACAAGACCCAGTACCCTTGAGGAAGAACAAGATGGAGCCCAGAAAGTGGGGGCTTTAATCCTATGTAATGACACCAAAAGGCCTGTAGGGGCGCTGCTTCTCCTGTCACAGGTGGAGTCTAAGATGCCTGGACTTTTTGTTTTCTCTCTATATATATAGAAATTTGTCTGGCATTGGGCTGTCTGAAAGGAACTGCCTGATCTTCTTTCTAAGTGTGTGTGATTTTGCTCATTCCAGAAACGTCTCCACCTGTGAGGTGTCCTCCTCGCAGGCCATCAGTTCCCCTCAGCGATCCAAGCGGGTCAAAGAGAACACCCCTCCCCGCTGCGCCATGGTGCACAGCAGCCCGGCCTGCAGCACTTCAGTCACCTGCGGGTGGGGCGATGTGGCCTCCAGCACCACCAGAGAGCGGCAGCGGCAGACCATCGTCATTCCCGACACCCCCAGCCCCACAGTCAGCGTCATCACCATCAGCAGTGACACAGACGAGGAAGAGGAGCAGAAGCACGCCCCCACCAGGTGAGGCAGCTCCTTGGGGTCCGGCGTGCAAGGGAGAGGCGGGCCGTGTCTCTGATTCACACCCGATTCATCCTCCCCGGACCAGGGTCATTTTTCAGCAGCAGCACAGCGATCCCTCCCTGCTGACCCCTACATTTTGGTTTTGCCATGTCCCTGAGTCCTAAGTTTCTTCCAAGAGAATATTGAACAGATTGGCCATGTTTGTTCAAAACCAAAATAATTTGGGGTCGCTTTGCCGCTTTGCTTTAAAAAAAAATAGTAACAGGCCCTACACATTTGGGAATGTGAGACTATAAAAAATCAGACTCATAATACCAGTTTATTTCAACCCCTATAAGCTTAAAAAAAAAATCTGCCTCTGGCTATTGAATTTATTCCCAGTTGATCAGGATATCTCTCTAACATTGCCTTGGCTCACTCAGAATTCAAAGTAATTGTCCAATTAATCAGAAATTTCCCTGTGTCTGATTAACCCAATCTTTCAAGCTGCCAGTTGGCTCTTCACCCCGAGAGCACTACTGTTTATTCCAAAGTAGTAATAATTCATTTTGCTCTGTGTGTGCTTCCTGGGGAGAGGAAAGAAATATTTATTATATTTGCAAGACTTCACCCTGGCACCAGAGCTGCTTTTCCACATTGTGCAGCTAGAGTTCAACAAAATACACTTTCTGCTTTGAACACACAACTCTGGTACCCTGCTATAGCCCAGGGGCCTCAGGCCTCACAGAGTCTAGAGTCTTACAGCCCCACCTTGCTGGCACTTTTACAGGGAGACTAAAGGTCAGGGAAGGAGGCCTGCTACCCTCAAACCACCAGTCGGAGTGCATCCCACAACTAGATACAGAACCCTATATTCAATTATGCCCAGACTGTTAATTCCTGATTGGATACAATGTAACTAATTAGTCATCACAAATCCTTTTGATTAGATAATAAATTCTCACACTTGAAATCATTACAAAATGTACAGATAAATTGATTCAAGGCTTCTCATGATAGCTGTTCTACATGGGGCATCCCTTCCCATCCTTACCACAGACAAGTGTATTTTTCATTCTGATGTTCATTGAATGGCTCAGCTTGATCACCCCTGTATCTCAAGAGAAGAGCATAGTAGAGCATTTCTCGTCCTGTCATTTGCCTGGTGCCAGAGTGGACAGGAGGTTGGTGACCAAAGGCATACTTGCAGCCATGTGTTGCCCTACTTCTCATCTGCTGGTTCCAGGACTGGCCTCAGCTTCCCTTTTGATTACGGTCCCAAGTTCATAGGTATCTCACCTTCCCCAGTGCCTTTCCCTTTCACCCAGGAAGGTGGGCTCTGTTTTCACAAGGCTCAACAGACACCCTGCATAAAGGAGGCTCTTCCAACCCCAAACTGGACCCAGTCCAGCCTCAGCTTCTAGTCCACACACTCATAACATTGGCCATAAAATGACTTGAAAAAAAAGTAAGTTAAATAGACTGGAAGCTCAGTCTTGAAGTCCAAGATTTGAGTTGACACAGACTTTGGATATAAGTGTTCAGGAAAGAATCAAACGGTGCATCTGATGACAGGAGGGTGGCAGCCATCTCCCTGGCAGCCAGACAGCTGACAGGGCTGGGAGCAGAAAGCAAAGCAGAATGAAGCACATGGCTGCCTCCCACCCACCCCGATGCTCCAGGAAAAAGTACAACTGAAATGTGTGCACCTTGTTGTAAATGACTCAGAGATTGGGAGGAGGGGTGGACAGCTGTCCAGCAGGTGATTTGAGAGGGACAGGCAGGCAGGGGGTACTGGACCCCACAGTTCTGTATCATGCAGAGCCTGGTGGACTTGTCTGCCTGCCTGACCAGGATAATGAAGACATGCCAGAGGGCTGGGAATGTGGCTTAGTGGTAGAGTGCTTGCCTAGCATGCATGAAGCCCTGGGTTGGATTGCTCAGTACCAGAAAAGTTGAAATAGTGCAGTGGCTCAAGTGGTAGAGTGCTAGCCTTCTGCACAGAGAGGCTCAGAGACAGTGCCCAGACGCTGAGTTCAAGTCCCAGGACTGGCAAAAAACACACACACACACACATGCCAGAGACACAGAGATGTCCTGGAGTCTGGACAAGCTTCAGTGTAGGACCAGAGAGTGGTCTGCGCTGCCCATGCAGCAACAGAGCTCAAAAAGGAGGCTACCATAGTAATGTTTTTTGGAGGCAGATAAGGTTGTTGCTGTAGAAGATGGTTTAGGACCCAAGAGGATAATGATGTATATTTAAGCCTGTGGTATGAAAGAAGCCAGAAGCTGTCTTACTTATATAGAATCACTGCATAATTGTGATCCCATTATAGTGACTACATTTAGGAAGGAGAAAGAGTGGGAGAAAATGATTGATCAGCATCATCCGCTGGAAGCTGGTGGCTCATGCTTATAATCCTAGCTACTCAGGAGGCTAAGATCTGAGGATCATAGTTTAAAACCAGCCCAGGCAGGAAACTCCGTGAGACTCGTATCTCCAAAAGTCAGAAGTAGGGCTGTGGCTCAAAATGGTAAAACACTAGCCTTGAGCAAAAAAGCTCATGCCCTGAGTTTAAGCCCCACAACCAGCCATAGCAAAAAAGAAAGAACATCAGCATCATCATAAAATTGAGCCCCATCAGTATCCAATATTTCACTGGGACCTGCAGATATTACATAAAGGAGAGAGTCTGCCCTCATGAGGCACCAGGAAATCACAAGACAAGACACATACAAATAATTTTAACACAAAGCAGAGCACCAGTTCCATAAAAACTGGCGAAGTGCTAAAGAGATCCAAAGGGAATTAGCTTCAGGAAAGAGTCTAGGAACGTATGGACCAGCCAAAGGAGAACAGGCTGGCCAAGCCAGGACCAGCAGTGGGTAGGCTATAGGAGCTTATCCAGGAGAAGGGATTCCACGCAGAGGAAATGGGCTTCGTGCTGGAAGGGGAATTGTGGAGGAGTCTTCTCTTCGATGGGGATTATGGGCTTTGTCAGGAGGTGCTGAGGGGTTCCAGAAAAGCATCAGTCCTGGGAAAATAAGAGTGTACCCCTGAGCGCAGTTAAATAGGAAATCCTTGGCCATGGTCTCTTCAGCTGGACAGCTTCCGCTGGTTCCAGTTTTCCTCATGAAGAGGCCTTCCCTTTCTTGTTCTCCTTGCTCATCCTTGGCCTCATACTTACCCCACCTTTCCCTGTGAGCAGCTTGATTCTGATCTTCTGTCTCCTGACCTAGTTTCCTATTTGCTACCTATCTCAATTCTGGCCTTTCCAGTTCCCCAGAGTTAGTCCTGTAACTTCATCTGAAACTCTGGCTACTTCTTGAACGTGGGTCTGGCTCAGCACGAGAGCTGGAGGGTCAGGAGCTGGTGACGCTTGCACCTCCCCTACCAGAGTCTTTTAGCACCAATCAAATGGTGGAAAGCCCATATTTTCAGACCTAGACTAAGTAATATCGCCTGGGATTTTTGTTTAAAGAATGCCAAGGTAAAAATCATTATTCTTGATTGCAAGTACACAGCACAGTTCATTGCCAGAACAGATGGCTAGGCACACTCTCACCTAGAAGAAGCCAGGGGATGCAGACAGCCAGCTGGGAGAGGATGAACCAAAGATGGGGCTCACAGCAAACAGTTACCAGGTGCTTCCCCCTCACTATCCTGCCCAGCACTGATGGCATACAGGAGGCCATAACCTCTATTCAGAAACTGGGTTCTTAGACCCCAGGCCCAAAGTCCTACACTCACCCCCTAGTGACTCACCCCCATATACCAAATAAAGAGACACAGTGAAAGTCAGAGGAAGGAAGTTTATCACATGGCAGCCATGGATAGACAGCACTTCAATATACCTTTAGCTGTCTTTAAGAATACAGATAGCAGCCTCAGGTTGAATAGAGAGAATTAGGGGCAGCAAGTGAGAAAGGAGAAAGAGTTACACCAAGTCACAGCTGTGGCCTGGCTGACTCATCTCAGTCTTTGTCCTTGGAGTTGTTCCTCAATTCCTACCACTGGAAGGAAGAGCCGGTTGCCTGGCAGTGATGCTCTGAGCTTTAAGATGATAAGAAGGCATTGCTGTCTGAGGGGCAGTTTGTCTTTTGTCACAAGATATTTATTTATGAATCCTGTCCTTGCCGCCCAAGGTGACTGCAAGTGATTGCCACAGATCAAAAAGCTTCAATGCAAAGTGAGGGTTCTGAGTGCCAGCATTCAGTTCATTATAAAGCAGTTTTTAAGTTGCCTCCTTCATTCCCATCCAATAAAGAAAAACACACAAGGCCCAGGACTGCTTTTCGGCACACCCAGATTGAGCAAATTTTACTTTCAGGATTAGGATTCATGTGCCATACCATTGGAGAAATGGCAGACTTAATTACTGGCATGCGTAACTGGTTCTCTTTAGTCATTAGCTTACCAACTTGTAGTTCTGTTCTGTCCCCTTCTGTGACTTCCACAGCGGGCCTCAGTAGCTCCCAGTGTGCAGGGAGTCCTACCAGAACATGGTGCCCTGAGCCCCTACTGTGCCAGCTGGGCACAGCTGGGCTACCTCGGGAGAAGGGTGAAGTTTTCATTCTTGGAGGTGTTAACATCTGGGCAGGCCACCAAGAGGCCAGTGTGCTGCCTTTTGCACAACAGTGAGTCACTGTTGGACCAGAGGACTCTTCAGTTATGGTTAGAGAGTTGGTTTAAAAATAGAAAAATTAGATAATAAGCATTTTTTTGCATACCCCAGAATTACGTAGTAGAGCTGACCTTATTTAAATAGATGATTTTGATAGAGAAGCATTTAGCTGAACAAGCCATCTTTCCTCACCTGGAATCTCCCTGGACAACATTGACGGGTGCTTGTCCTATTTATCCAGAGCCTGGTGCCAACCTCGCCTTGTACTGAAACTGCTTTATAGAGGTCATAGGGATAAACCAAAGTGGCTTATTTGAGCTGATCAGCTAGACCTACTCTGCCCAGTTTCCATTATTCATTGCTCTATCCACTCATTCAATTACTTGGCGATCTCTG